ATTGCCAGTGAGGTTGAACATCTTTTCATATATCTATTGGCTGTTGGTGTGTCTTCTTGGGAGAGGTATATTTTCAGGTCCTTTGCCCACTTTTTAATTGGGTTGTTTTTTTATTTGGTGTTGATTTTTATGAGTTCTTTATATATTTTGGAAATTAAACCTTTTGGGGAGCTACTCTTTGCACATATCATCTCCCAACAAAGAGGCAGTCAGTAGGTGATTTTTTAAAGTTTCATAGTTTTCTTTTTTTAAATTTTACCAATTATCTACATTCAGAATTAGATATTTACCTAATCAAATGTTCAACTAATAATTACTGTAATATTATCCCATACCAACAGTCTCTGCAGATCAAGACAAAATTTAGAGTTTCTCTGAGTAGTACTCTAGTCAATCAAATTGGTCTTCCACTTTTTATAACATGTAATTTGATTACTGGTAGAGGATCAAAGTGTGTTGCCAGGGAAAGATTAATTACTTCCTTTTTCTGAATTAATTAGTACCATATTAGAGTGCTAAGCAAACCTGATCTAGCGAAAGAAAAATGAATGTCAAAGAGATGTTAACCTGAGCTATCGTTTGGCAGAGAGATTTATCATTTTTCCATTAATGAAAAAAATCCCTCCTTATTTTAAATATAGAACTTCTTTAGTCCTAAATACTCTTGGAACTATATTTTTCTTTTGCCTCACAGAAATTTGTAATGTGAAAGAAAAAATAACTTTTTTTCAAAGGTGATGAAATTTTCCACATAAGTATTACTTTAAGCTCAAATTTTAGACACTAGACCAACTGTAACATTTTCAGATAAAGTGACTTAATGTGTGAAATGACCACATCCAGGAAAAGGTTTTTAAAAATGCATATGACATAACTTTGTCAGTTAAAGAAAAGTAAAACTTTGATTAAACTAGGACCTTTTCCCCCTTCAGTTAGGAGAATTCTCTCTGAAGATGAACTGATTTATGGCTGGTAAACTGAAGACTGACTTACTGATTTGAATCTGTTTAAAAACATTTTATTTCACCATTTCTCTTCCAAAGAATCACGCATGTTATCTATGATCATTGAAGTTATAATGTGCCAATAGATTTTTAGAAATTTAGAAGGTACCCTTTTCTTACTCAACCATAGTGAGAGAGTGGCAATGCATTCTGTATTTAAGAGAACACACACACACACACACACACACACACACACACACACACACACATCTGACTTCATATATATGAGATATTAAAAAAATCTCTGATGTTTAGCCTGGTTAATTTTATTAATATTTCCATGTGTCAGAAGTTAGCCTGAATTATAATATCAGAGCAATGTTTTCCAAAAAAACCCAAAAAGCAAAAAAAAAAACCACGAAAAAAAACCCCACAAAACTTGGGAAGCGTGTTTAACTCTTCTCTTCATAAATTACATTTTACCTAATGCCACTTATGAATAAGTAGATATGAACATTGAGCCATATGTAGTTTAGCGTTTTTAGAGTATTCTGAAGAGGATCATAGTGTCCTCAAATCTCTCAACTTATACCATATCTTAATATATAAAATGTCCAGCAGTACACAGTCCACCCTGTTCTCTACTAGGGCCACACACTTGCATATCTCCACAAGAGCCTTTGAAAATGCAAAGACATTACACACATTACACAATAACCTGGAACCAACCAATAATAATGTTTATGAATTGGACTTCTGTTTGTTTGTTTCCACTAAATAACTAGCTTCGAAGAGCAGGGTCCATTGGAAATAGTGCACATTATTTGATGGGGCTATCATGGGAGGAAAGCTCTGGGACAGAGGCCATTAGCTAAGAAAGACAAAAACTCATAGGATGGCAGTAAGCAGCTTTCAGACCAAAGGCTAAAGTCAGAAGATTGCAATTGTGAAATTTAAGAATTCAGAAAGCTTTCAAATGGAATAAGACAGAATGTTTTATTAAACTTGTCTCCTAAAAGAGAAATAATTGGATTGAATTTGCTTGTTTCTTTATCTTAAAAAAGAGAGTTAATATTCTTGGCAAAAGACTCAAGAGAATGGATAGCATAATTTTTTCATCTAATCAACAGATTTTTATCAACCTGAGAACTATAGGTTAAAGTAGCATTAATAAATCCTTTTAGCAAATTTTGGGGAAATCATATTCATAAAAGTTGTATTTCCATTTGTTTTTGTGAAGTTACAAGGAATTTTCAGAACTATGTACTATTTTGGGCTATTCATTAGCAGAAAAGAAAGCAGATTGAAGTTATAATGCATTTCACAATATGAAATGGGATCTGCATAAATTAATTCAATTGCTTAAGGACAACATTTATTTCCTCCAGCAGTTTACATTCCTATTTGTGGTGCTATTGACTAACACTTCACAGTTTACTGGCATCTGCTCCATATCACAAAACCCATTATTATGTACTGTTTCAGAGCTATAGAGTTTCTTTTTTAAGAATCAATATATCTTACCATCTATATTAATCTAAGGAAATTATTTTCCTATGGCAAAGTTTGTATCAGCGATTTTTTTTCCTTTTTACTCAAAACAAAACACACACATACACTATATTAAAAATCTCACTAATATGCTATTTTAGTATAATACAACTTCTTTAAAAAGTGAAATATTGTGCTTCTTGCACTTGTAATAATAAGATCCTTTATTGTCCAAAATGAAATACCTAATCAAAAAATTCTTTTGGAACATAGTTTAGAGGGAAGTTCTAGGTCCAGTGGGAGAATAGGTAGTTAATATTACTCATAGTAATAAATAAACTTTAAAAAGTGACCCATTAATATTTTAGACATATACAGAAATGGACATAAATTGTTAATTATCTCTGCCCTTTGCATGAGCTTATTAAAATAGCAAATAGCAAAAATATATTATTTGTATTACTATTATTAGTGCCTACAGCTACCCCAATTTTAAAATAAAACCTAATTAATAAAGAACTTTGTTATCTTACATTTTGTCATTGCTTCATCCTATAATTATGAACAAAATATTTAATGATCAAAATAACAGTGCCAATATAATTAGAGGAGACAAATGCTTAGTCCTTGGTAGAAATAAGCTATAAAAAATAGCTCTTAACTATGTTAGTGCATACATTGTTGCTAACACTTGCACTCTAACTATAAATAAAATCAGGTCCTGTAAAGAGCTCTTCATATGAGTATTTTTAAAACAGCTACTTATTATTACATATAATTTACCATATGCAATTGGGATCAATAAACCTGTATTGCATATTTTAGATGTTTCATAATTTCTGACACATATTAATTCTGCCCCTTTTACTATCAATAATATCCCAGCTTAGTCTCATTCAGTTTGAATTTTTATTTTAGTGTTAGATCCACACTGTGAATGATTACTCTGAGTTTATTCTTTCATTGTTGGTTTTGCAATCTCTAAGAAAAGTTCTTAGTAACATAGCATAGTCAAAGGAATCAACTCTCTCTATAGAAATGATGCTCATGTCAACTTTATATTATCTGTTAAGCAGCAAGTGATAGGCCTACAATTAAAATAATAATATATGGAGTAAAAAAGAGCAAGGATACTTTGTTTAATACATATTTGTTACTTATGACCATATTCTTATTAGAGATTGACTCTGAGTTTATTGTGGTGGTAGATATAGTCAGAACTAGAAATAATTATGTCCTCATGTACACGGTAAATGAAAGGTAGAATAGTGTTTCATGTTATAGAATTTTTCATTCTCAGAATGAACAGTGATAAATTATTGTAAGTATAAAATTGAATATAGGCATAGCAGATGTTTAGGACTTTCTGAACTTGGTGACTAACAAGTCTCTAAAGTGTTTCTATTGAAACACATTTAATATCCAATATCTACTCTTGTAGAGAGAAAAAAGTTGATGTTGTTATCATAGGTTCTATATATTTAGATTACATCTTGATGTTCAACCACTTGATTTCCCTTATTTTTTGGAGTTTCAAAACTAGAAGGTTAAAACATAATGATGGGAAGCCATTTTGTTCTCAGCACTACATGCTTTATTTGAATTATGTACCCATACAAACCTTAATGTTCAAAATAGCTTTTCAAAATTTCTATTTTCTATTAATTTATTTCATATATATATTCTTGTTCCTTGGTCTCTTTTCTTCATATTGGTTTATACGTATGTCTCTTCTCACATATATGGTATGCTCATTTGTACCTATACACTTTTATGTATAGGAAACATATCTGGAGCAAATTATAATTACTGGAAATCAGAATATTTTGAGATATGTATAACCTTACCAAATTTTGTATTTCCTAAAATTATCAGGAAGCTGGATGTTCAATACATTTAAAGGTAATAAATTTAATTAAGTTCTCCATTTAGTACCAGCTTCATGATCCTTTTTAAGAATTCAACATCTTTGGATTTTATAAAATATAGCCTTTTATGCCTTTAGTATGGAGACCAATTCTGAATCTTTTTATAAACAGTAACATGCCATAAGGCATGTGTTCAGTACATCATTGAAAACCTAAAACCAACTTCTCTGCATTGGAGTCAGGATCTCTCATTTCCTTAAAAATTAATTTTCTATGCTTTTTATGAGAAAAATAAACCTAAAATAATTTTCATGAATTATAAAAATAATTCATATACACACAAATAAATTAAGTGAATAAAATAAAATGGCTGGTTATGTATATATATATATATATATATATATATATATATATATATATACAGATATAAAGAAAAAAAACCCAACCCTAGCTATGATTAAACAAAATGACCATGTTAAATTTCATAAATAGTTTTATTCAAAGTAGACATGATCACACATTTCAAATACTATAAATGGATGTATATGGGCCTCCTAGATAATTTAGTATTTTTACCTTTTAAAAATGTGTAACGCATATTAACATTATTAAATAGCTGGTGTTATTATGGCTATAGTTGTTTGACTTGCAAACAATAAACCCATTTATACTTCAGGAAAAGAGAGGTATAACTTACTGGATTCAGGATCAGAGTTGCCATCCCCTTCAGTGCGGTTGTTGGGTGCAGAATGATCAAAGTACTCCTCCTGAAGATAACCAAGGGGCAGAGCATGGGATGCGCTGGGAAGATTGCCTGCATCATGGTCTCCCAGTCCGCCATCACTGCTGCTTTCCTGAGAGCCTTCTGGTAGGTGAAATGTGACACGCCGCTGGGACTGAAAGGAAGAAAGCAAATTACAGGATTTCAGCAATGATCTGAATAATTGCTTAATGCAGCCAATTTAGAAATACATTATTTCAACTATCTAGTGAAGTCACACTAACATTATGTTGATTTGGGAACAATTTCAGGCTTCTGTGAACCTGCTGCACCTGGCAACAGAGTTGCTTTCATTATATTTTGAAACAAGGCACATACAGATGCAGAATAAAGTCAACTTGCTCTAAAGCACAAAGCTGTCAGCCTTTATAGATACTCAAGCATATTGAAAATTCTGATAATCATTTCAACATTGATTTATTGAGTGCCTATTTGACAATAATTCATTTTTAAAAATAATAAGCATGAATAAATGTAACAAAATTTTATTGCTGTATCTATAAAATTCTGGCAAGCTAAAACAGTAAATATAAACAAATTTATCCAATCATGTAGGCTTAGAAAATTTAAAGTTCAAATCATCTTTTCAAGTAAATTAGAGACAATATTTTGAATTGGAACTCATTTAAATTGATTCTACACTCTAAAAAATAAGAACAATTACATGGTATGGATAACAGTTGATGGTGATTATAATAACAAAGCATAGGCATTATCTTAAATGGTAATTATAGCAGAACATAAAAAATATAATGCCAAATATAAAGATGAAACATTCAGTCTCCAAAACAAAAGGCTCAAGACAACCAGTAATGGTGATGACTCCACCAGAAGTAGCGGTATTTTGTTTGCAGCATTGTTATATGTAGTAGCTAGTCTACAAAGATATCCTCTGCAATGGATATTCATATTTCTTCATATTCATACCCTTATGTAGTACTCTACCACATAATATGTAGTACTAAATATGGGAGGCCCTCTGTAACCAAACCTTGCAGCTTATGTTTTGCTCCCTTGGAATACTCACTGTGGAGGAAACCAGCTGCATTGAAAGAAGTCTGACTACTAGGAGACTGCCATGCTATACGGAAGCTCAAGATAGCTGTGTGGAAAGACTGCATAGAAAGGAAGTACAATAGACAGAGAGGCCCAGCTGTTCCAGCCACCGTAGTTCAGGTGCTAAATATGAATGTGAAGAACCCATTCTGTTCATTACAGTTTTGGGCCTCATTTGAGTCATCCAAGTCATCTCCAAACATTTAACTCATCCCATTTTAGTCACAAGCCATTGTGGAGCAGATAGTTATCTCTGCTGTGCACTACCCTAATTTTTGACCTAAAAAATGTAATGTACAATTGTTTTTTGTTTTGTGCTTCAAAGATTAGGAATAGTTTGCTATGTAACAATAGACCAACCAAAATACTTCACTACTAGCAGTATGCAATATACATTTAAGAGATAATTATTTAAGAAATCTACACAAAGCAAAGTGAAATAAGCCAGTCAGAGAAAGAAAAATACCATATGATTTCACTTATATGTGGAATCCAATGAACACAATAAATAAACAAAATAGAAACAGATTCATTGATACAGAGAACAGACTGACAGCTGTCAAAAGGCAAGGGCTGGATAAAATAGGTAAAAAATTTAAGCAAAAAAAAATACAACAACTTATAGACAGATAATAGTATGGTGATTGCCAGAGGGAAAAGGTAGTGAGAGGAGGTAGGAGAGGTTGAAGGGAGGATAAATGGTGATGGACGGAGACTTGAATTGGAGTGGTGAACACACAATGCAATATACAGATGATATATTATAGAATTGTACACTTAAAACCTATGTAATTTTATTACCAATGCCACCACAATAAATTCAATAAAAATATAGGGATTAAAAAATAATTTCCATGACAGAATGAGGATACTTTTGCAAATTCAGGTTTGATAGTCAGCAATCTCTTCAGATGGAGATATGAAAACATTTGAAGATTCATGCTATAGACTGAATGTCTGCTGCCCCTCAAAATTCATATGTTGAAACCTAATACCCAACATTATGGTATTTAGAGGTGGGACTTTGGGGACATGGTTGGTCTTGAGATTGGAGTCTTCATACATGGGATTAGTGTCCTTATAAAAACAGCACCAGAAAGCTCACGCTCCAACTTCTGCCATGTGAGGAAACAGCAAGCTACTTTTGTCAGGCCAGCAAAGTTGGATTTGACTGCTCTCTGTTTAAGAAGTCAAATGCTCACTTAGTTATAGGTTAAACCTCATTTAATTCCAAAAATTATTTTTAGTTGTTAAAATAAGCCCTTGTTAAAATATTGTCATCCACTTCAATTAAAATATAAACACTTTTTACGCACAAACATTTTAAAAATATAAGAACTAGAAAAATAGCATTTTAAAATGTCCAAAACACTATACTATAGATATTTATCTACAATTAACTATTGTCTATATCTTAAAGATAATACTTAACACAGATTTTAAAAAATCATTGTATGTAAAGTAATCCAGTCTATCATTGACTAATTTATAATTGCTTGCATCAAAATGCATAACTGTTAAGAGATATTTTTATTTCTATAAGACACAAGTAATATATTTCAAGTACATATACATATATGATGTACTATACATATGGTACATGGTATGTATATATTGTGTGTTTAGTGTATGTTCATGTGAATGTAGTTTTACCATATACATTTTTAAAGTATTAGATATAGATAAAAATAACCTATGAATAAGAAAATATTTTACTGCTGACAAAATAATTAATCTTTAATTTAAAATGTGCTGGTTAAGCTTGGAATCATACACCCTAACAGAATTTAAATTGCCAGTGAATAGAAGGTAAAGTTTTGTCAAGTGGTAGGAGTAGAGACTATATACCTTACTTTCTAATGTAAAGGGAATGGAGTTTTGTGTTCACCTGCTTGTCTATGCACAAAACAAAACAGCAACAACAAAGACAATTTAAGTTAAAAAAATTATCCCATCCTAGGACACCTATACTAGTAGCTTAACTAAAAGCCCTTGCAAAAAAAAATGCCATAGAATGTACCTGTAATTGGCCTGGGCATGTACTCATCCTCAATCCTCTTGACCCTCATAAATGGAATCCCCTTAGGTGTAAATAACAGAATGGAAGGGTTTGTAAGGACTCCTTTTAGTGAAGAAAACTGTTTTTGTCCCTTCTTAAGTGTGCCAAAAATCACTACCAGAACCAGTACTGTGTTCTTGAAATGCAGCTCTTATATTTGACATTATCACATATATACCTTTGAGTTTTAAAAGCAAAACTGTCATATTAATAAACAATCTTATTTATGTTAGCTTTAACAAATATCAGAGGGCCTCAAGTGGAGATGAAGGAATGTTGACTGATCATTAATGGCTTATATCATTTTTAAATCATATATAAGTTCAGTGACATTAAGGATTTGACTTCTTTCTCATTCACACTTTCGAAGTTTACAGTCTGAAACATTGTCTTACCTATTTCTATAATCCATAGAATGCATTCAAATATCATTATTTAAATATAGGTATTCCATTTCTTTATTCTGTGGATTAGCAAGAGGCTTTATATTTCCACATCTGTGAATAACTAGGCTGTCCATGAAATATTTTCTTCAGTTAAATTATTAGAATTTAATTTTAAGGAATTGTTTTTAAAAGCTCCTGAAAAATTAGCTTTTAATAATGAAAAAACTGTTAACTATTTTTTCCTATGGCTACTCTAATAATTCCTACTTAAGCTTGCATTTTGTAATTTGTGACACTTCCAGATGGAACTGAACATACAATAATGATATGAACTGAACAATTTATGAATCCTTTATAGTAAATTTTAGAAAACTGGTTTAACTCATTTGCCCTTTACTTGTTAGTGGGTAAATCCTTTATTTCTGATGGCGCCTTTCTGCTCAGATTCATTACATGAAGACATTCAAATTGCAGAGGTAATTTTTTTTATCCAATATATTTAAAAATATTAACCATTACATGAAAATCATTCCCAAGTCTCTCAAAGAAAAGGATTAATAATGTCCTTTTTTTTTCAAGTGTTGAAGATGATTGCTGTGCAATATAAAAGAGCTATTATACTAATGACCATGTCATAATGTGTCTGTTTGCAGTCCTTCAAGGAAGCTGTGGCATACAAATTAAACAATCTATTCACTGTAACAGTGACTTTATTGGATGGAAAAAAAATCCTGGGTCATTTCTGAATAAATGTCTTACTGAACGGCTAGTTATTTTTCTCCCAGTTGGAGAAAAATTCACGGGTTTCTTCCCCTTTAATCTAGATGCTACATGCCTTGTTTTTAACTCAAATCAATCTAAATTCCAGAATATATGAATGTGTAGAAATAATACTGTTGTCACATTGATGAATCATTTACAAGCAAATTATCAATTCCCAACATTCTTGTGTCTATTACAATACCTCAAGAAGGCATAATTCCATGCTAAGTATCAAATGAATATCCTTATATTTCCATATCATGATGTAAATGGCACCTTAGAAGGTGAAGCTGTCAGCAGAGAGGCTGCATGAAGACAGACCAGCCTGTGAATCTCATTATGGAATGCTTGAGTATCATGTTCCAGAGGGCTCATTAGAATTACCTGTCAAAGTGTTCAAACTAATCATACAACCTTGCACTCCCTCTGATGCCAATTCTAATACACCCTGACCCAGCCTACCTTGGATTCTCTGCCATTGTCAGTAACTCTGAATAGAGATGGTAATCATAGGTGGGGTTACTACTTTTTCAGCATTACTATGTATGTGCAAGGTTGTTTTTGATTTATATGTAAAACGTTCTCAATATCAAACTAGTAAGCATTTTTTTAGCCTCTGAGTTCTCATGTATTATAATAATCGACAACTTCTTTCTGGATGCCAGTGGTTTGCATTTTTCCATGGCTACTGTCTCATCAAAATAATTTATAATATTCAGTATATCATAAATTAAAATGTGAAAAAAATTAGAAACTCAACCTGAGATTTTTATGTGCATTATATGACCACCACATAAATCTCACTTATAGCTCATAATTTCCAGTGTAAAATCTCCCGGACGACATATTATATATTAGGTCTTTACTATTTAACCCTATGTTTCATTAAGCTTCCTACTTTTCCAATTCAAATAATCTTGCAAAACAGATCAGTTCATCTAATCGCTTTTTCACTGTTCCATTTCATAAAATTTGAATGGTATGTCTCATTTCTCATTTTCCCTTTCACATTTTGTTCCTGAAGATTTTACATTTTAAGGCTTTTTTAAAAAAATACCCTAACATATTATTAGCATGTGCAGAAAGTTCTTCATGTTGCTCAATTATTCCAGAATCAGATCTTTCCTAAGCTCTATTTTACTCTTAAACCTTTTATGGCACTTGGTGATTTAAAAAGTATATTATTTTATTTTATTAATTTTTGGTAAATGATGTAGGCATATTTTTAGAAAGAGGAATGGAAAGAGAGAGAGAGAGAGAGAGAGAGAGAGAGAGAGAGAGAGAGAGAGAGGTGAGAAACATCTATCAGGTGCGCCCTACACGTGCCCTAATCAGAAATCAAATTCGTCACATTTTGGTGTACAGGAGGACACTCCAACCCACTGAGCAACACTATACAGGGCCAGGCATATTTTTTTAATGATAGAAGACTACATGGCATTACATGATGACATCTTTTTTTGGAGTAATGATTCGTTTCAAAGCAATCAAAATGGAAGTATTCTACTTGTAGATAGGTAGGATAAAACTTCTGCTTTAGTGAATGTTGTTGATTGTAAATTGGTGATTGCCAGAATTTTGTGAATTTTTAAATTAAATAGCATTATTACAAATGTTTGAGAAATTACAGTTGTGTAACTAACAATTAGAATAAGACAAAGTGAAACTGAACATACTTTGAAACTGGCATGTGTCCAAAAGTGACATTAAGGAGTATTAAAACCAGATATTAAACTAAAAGCTGATCATTACAATGGTCTGGACGATAAAAGCCAAATATCAATT